GTGTGGTTTTGAGGGAAGTTGCCAGTGGTGGTGTTTCAATGCATCTGCTGGCCGTTTCCTTCCAGATGGCAGAGGTTGCAGATATGGAAGACACTGGCTAAGGAGTCTTGGTGAGTTGCTGCAGTATATTTTGCAGCTGATTTACACACACACACACTGTGTTGGAAGCAGTGAACCTTGAATGTATTAGATGCCATTCAAGTGTCTTTTTCTATTTTCAATCTTGTCAAGCTCCTTGAGGGTTGTTAAAGCTGCCGTCATCATTAAATAAGGAGATAAGAACTCGGACCAGGAGTAGGCAATTCCGTCCCTTGAGTCTGCTCCACCATTTGACACGACTGTGGCTGATCTTATCTCAGCCCCATCTTCACTTTCCTGCCTGCTTTCCATAATCCTGCAACCCATTACTAGTTAAAAACCTGCCTTTCTCAAAGGGAAAAGAACAGTACAGTAAAAGGCCCTTTGGCCCACCAAGCCTGAGCCAACACATTATCCCTCTATTCCCTGCTTATACATACCCATCAAGACGCTTCTTAAATGTTGCTATTGTATCCACCTCCACCACCTCCTCTGGTAGCGTATTCCAGGCACTTTACCACGCTCTATGTGAAAAACTTGCCTCTCACATCTCGTTTAAACTCACCCTCTTTTACCTTAAACCTATATCCCCTAGTAATTGACATTTATACCCTGGGGAAAATCGTCCAAATATCCATTCTATCCATGCCTCATATAATTTTGTGAATCTCTATCAGGTAGCGACTCCCCACTCCCCCAAACCAACACCCCCCACCTTGGATGTTCAAGTGAAAACAAACCATAGCATGAATTATTATCTTAAGAGATCAATGTCCTTTGGTGAAGATGTCCAACTGATATGTCCAATAAACTGTCAATTATAGTTTGACCAATCAAGCATCAAGCTTTGGAGTTGTCAGGAAGTGCTAATTAGAACTATCTAAATCCCAACTTCTCTCCACCCCCTAGCCTATTTTGTCCAATCTCTCCTCATAGCTAATGCTCTCAAACCAGGCAACATCCTGGTAAACCTTTTCTGTACCCTTTCCAAAACCTCCACATCCTTCTGGTAATATGATGACCAAAACCTTACACAATATTCCACATGTGGCCTAACTTAAGTTCTATACAGCTGCAACATGACTTGCCAATTTTTAAACTCTATGCCCCGACTGATGAAGGCAAGCATGCCATGTCCTTTTTGACCACTTTATCCGCTTGTGTTGCCAATTTCAGGGAGCCGTAGAACTATAGACCAGTATTCCTCTGTATGTTGATGCTACCAAGGGTTCTGTTATTTAGTGTATACTTCCCTCCTGTATTAGATCTCCAAAAATGCATCACCTCACATTTGTCTGGATTAAACTCCATCTGTCACTTCCCTACCCAAGTCTCCAGTCTATCTATATTCTGCTGCATCCTCTAGCAATCCTCCTCACTATCTGCAGGTCCCACAGTCTTTGTGTTGTCCACAAGCCTACACTTCTGACCATCTACATTCTCCTTCAAACCATTCATATATATTACAAACAACAAGGCTCCCAGCTCCAATCCCTGCAGATCTCCAGTCAGAAAGATACCCGTCCACTGCTATTCTCTGTCTTCTACGACTAAGCCAGTTCTATTATCATCTTATCAGCTCATTGTGGATTCCATGTGACTTCACCTTTTATATAAGCCTGCCATGAGAGACCTTGTCAAAGGCCTTGCGAAAGTCCACTGCCCTGCTCATCAATCATTTTGTTACTTCCTCCAAAAACTCAATCAGGTTTGTGAGACTTGGCCTTCCCTGCACAAAACCTTGCTGTCTATCGCTAAGTCGAAAATTTTCCAAAGGTGAGTGCATCCTAATCCTAAAAATCTCCTCAATAATTTCCTTATCATTGACGTAAGTCTCACTAGCCTGTAATTTCCCAGATTATCACTGCTGGCCTTCTTAAACAAACAAACAACACTGGCTATTCACCAATCCTTGGAGAGTACAAAGACCGCCCTCCTCCTTAAATTTAATCAATGTCCCAGTATCTGCTGAACTCTGGAATGGTGAATTCCACAGATTCATGACCCTTTGACAGAAGTACTTTCTCTTCATCTCAGCTTTGAATCTGCTACACCTTAGTGTCATATCATATCATAGAGGCATACAGCATGGAAACAGACTCTTTGATCCAAATCATCCATGCCAACCACCTTTCCTAAACTGAATTGGTTCCATTTGCATGTGTTTTGTACATACCCCTCTAAACCTTGCCCATTCATGCACCTGTCCAAATGTCTTTTAAATGTTGTAATCATTTCTACCACTTCCTCTGGCCACCCAATCCAAACATGCACCACCCTCTGTGTGAAAACATTGCCCCTCAAGTCCTTTTTAAGCCTTTCCTTTTTCATCTTATACCTATGTTCTCTAGTTTTGGACATCTCTCCTACCCTGGAGAAAAGACTTTGGCTATTCACCTTATCTATGACCTTAATTGCCCTGGAGAATGTGTTGGTGAGCTGCCTTCTTGAAACACAACAGCCCATATGGTGTAAATATCCACAATGCTATTAGGGAAGGTGTTCCAGGATTTTGACCCAATGTCAGAGAAGGAATAGCATTAAAAAGTATTCCATCACACACCTGATCTGTGCCTTGTTGCTGGTGAGAAGGTTTTGGGAGTAAGGAGATGAGTTACTGGCCACAGAATTTCTAGCCTCTGACCTGCTCTTGCAGCCATAGTATTTATTTGACTGGTCCAGTTCAGTTTCTAATCAATGATGACCCTCCCAACGCCCGATCTCCCAGGTTGTAGATAGTGGGGGAGCTCAGTGATGATAATGTCACTGAAAGTCGAAGGGCATTAACCTTAGAAGAAAACAGTGGGCAGAGAAGGTAGATGATTCACTGGACTGTGTTTTCTCTGAGCCCTCTTCTCAGTTACCTCAGCTCTTTGATTCTGCTCCCCTCTTCCATTATCTTTCCAAACATTCAGCCCCAAATACATTATGGTAATCAGCGATTGTCTCCCAAAGGAAATACTCTCTGTCCATCCTACAGCATGCCATGATTTGGTGTGCAAAGTAGGGGAGGGAAGTATTTTTTGTTGGAATGACCAGTAATTACAAAGACCTATTAAATGGCCCCTTCAGCACCAATAAGTAAATTCACCACAGTCCCACTCTCTCGCCTGGGACCCACGATAGGTGGGTGTTTAACCCAAGGGTCCCAATTGCTACAGGCAAGGTGAGAAGTTATGACCTTCACAGTAACCTCACACTGTGCAGGATTTGAACCTGCACTGTTGGCATTACAAAGCAGCATCCAGCTCACCGAGCTAACCAACATCTATAGCCACATTGAAAACAGGGCCAATTAGGATTCCACCTGCACAGCATGGAGAGGCTGCAAGTAGCAGCAATGATGTTGCAGGTTGGCTTTCTGCCCTTTGTGAACTGCCTATCAACGTATCTGTATCGGCACATCCTTCACTGGGTAGACGTGCCATCATTCTGTAATCTGATTTTTAATTGGGAAGTAAATATAGTCCCAGACAACAGGGCAAACTCCCCTGCGCTTCTCCAGTTTGATCACAGATTCTAACAGCGCAATTGAAGGCTTTTCAGCCCATCATGCCTGCATCAGTTCTATCACCTAGATTACCATGCACTGAGCCACTGTGCACATTGACAGTGTCTTTGACCCCAAATCAGAAAATTGTGGAGTTCAAGGCCAAGGCAAAGGTTATGATCAGCTAATGGCAGCAGTTCAGTGTAGTGCAGTACTGTGGGAATGTTAATCAGTGCGGAAAGCCTCGTACCATCACAAGGCAGGTAGCTTGGAAAAAGACAGCAGGCGAAGAAGCAATTGAGATGTACAAGCAGTAATTCTCTCAAGCAATTCTTGCAATTATCCTGCAGTTAAGTATACCCCTGCCTACTATTTCTATCCAAATTATCATCCAATGCCATCCTGAATGTTTCAACTGAGCCTACCTCCACCACAGCGACTTGTGTGAAAAAGTTTCCTCCTTTGTTTCGTTCACACATCGCTTTCAATCTATGCTCTCTCATTCTTCTTTTCTTAATATCTTAAATAGTGCAACATTCCCACAGTACTGCATTGCACTGAGGAACTGCCATTAGCTGATCAGAACCTTTCACTTGATCTAGAACTCCACAATTTTCTGAATCAGGGTCAAAGGCACTGTCAATTTGCATGGTGGCTCAGTGGTAGCACTGCTGCATCACAGCATCAGGGACCTGGGATCGATCCCACCCCAGGCGAATGCCTGTGTGGAATCTGCACATTTTCCCCATATCTGTGCGGGTTTCCTCCAGGTGCTCTAGTTTCGTCCCACAGTCCAAAGATATGCAGGTGGATTGGCAATGCTAAATTGCCCACAGTGGTTGATTAGCTATGGGAAATGCAGGGTTACAGGGATGCGATAGGAGGTGGGTCTGGATGGGATGCCCTTCTGAGGATTAGTATGGACTCGATGAGCTGAATAGCCTGTTTCTGCACTGTAGGGATTATTATTAGAGAATCCCCACATTCTGGAAACAGCCCATTCGGCCCGACAAGTCCACACCTCTGCAAAGCATCCCACCAGACCTGTCCCCCTACCCTTTCCCTGCAACCCTGCATTTCCCATGGCTAATACACCTAACCTACACATCCCTGAACACTATGGGCAATTTAGCATGGCCAATCGACTTAACTTGCACATCTTTGGACTGTTGGAGGAAACCAGAGCACCCAGAGGAAACCCATGTAGACATGGGGAGAATGTGCACTCTTCACACAGACAGTCGTCCGAGGGTGGAATTGAACCTGGGTCCCTGGTGCTGTGAGGCAGCAGTGCTAAACACTGAGCCACCATGCCACCCTATTCTGTGACAATTAATGATCGATTGACAGAGAGAATCAAATCATACACAAATGTTATTTTATAAGACAGAGGATTTTAAAAAGTGTTTATTATCATTTTACTTAATTGCAGGATAATTGCAAGAATTGTTTGAGAGAATTACTGCTTGTGCTTCTCAATTGCATCTTTGCCGGCTGTCGTTTTCCAAGCTACCCGCCTTGTGATGGTACGAGGCTTTCCGCACTGATTAACTGCAGCAACAGGGGTTTAACGTCAGTACCTATAATCAGATCCGAAAATGCAACCACGCTGCTGCTAAATTTTAATTCACTTCAAGAGATCAAGAGACAATCTTTTTCTGGTGTCCCAAACCTTGAGATACTTGACCTGAGTCATAACTGTTGCCCTGGGAAACTCCGATCCCCTGGCGAAGAATGTAAACTGAACATTGAATCCACAGCATTCTGTAACCTTCACAAGTTGAAGAAAATCGACCTTACAGGAAACAGTCTAAAGAGAATCCCACCATTGCCTGCAAACCTTATTGACTTGAGGTTGGTCCTCAACAATATCATCCACCTGCAATTTAGTAATGTCTCCAATCTGGTAAACCTGCAGGTTCTGAATGTCAGCAAGAACTGTTATTACCAAAATCCATGCAACACCTCAATGACTATTGCAGAGGACACATTTAAGAGTATGCACAGGCTGAACATATTAGAAATGGACTTCAATAACATCACAGCTGTGCCCAGAGGCCTTCCACAATCCTTGACTAAGCTGAGTCTCTGTGAGAATAAGATTCAGCACATTTCCGCAGAGGATTTTAAAGATCTCATTCACTTGAAGCAACTTCTTCTGGCGTGCAACTGCCAACGATGCGACCATGCTGCACAACCCTGTTTCCCTTGTAAATCACTCGAGCTGTCTCCTGGAGCTTTCCTCCACCTTCAAAAACTGAAGCAGCTCGTGCTCAGAGGTAACTCCCTTCAGCAGCTCAATGCCCAGTTATTCCAATCTCTGGGATGTTTAACTGAACTTGATCTATCAGACAACTTTCTTGCCTATGAAATTCAAACTGCCACATTTTTTGCAAATCTCCACATGCTGCAAGATCTCAACCTGATGTATAACTATGAACCTTGGAAAACCTTTAATCGCTTGGTCTTACCTCCTTCTTTTGTGAATCTAACATCTTTGAGAAAATTTCAGATTGATGGGTATTTTTTCCGCAAGCTGGATCGGAGAGGCATACACTCTTTGCTCAGACTTCCCAATCTTACATCCGTAAACTTCCGAATGAATTTCATACAGTCGGTTGACCTGAAACTCTTTGAAAATTTAACAACATTGAAATACATTGGGCTGTCTGAAAACAAAGTGTCATTTTCAACATGGAACTCCAACCAGTATGCTAGTGAAAATAGTAGAATTAAAGAGGACTTCACCAAGTATCAAGAGCAACAGCTTTTTGAGAGAAGACCTGAAGGTGAGAATAATGAGAATGCCAGTACTGAAGTTAAGCATTCTGATAGATTTTCCTTTCAAAGATGTTCTTCTTATGCAAAGACCTTTGACTTATCATCCAACAACATTGCAGATATTAAAGCAGAAGATTTTGAAGGATTGGAAGATGTTGAATGTCTCTTGCTGTCTTCGAATTATCTGACACAGGCGCTAAATGGTTCTCAGTTCAACAGGTTGAAAAAACTGAAGTACTTGGACCTTGCTCACAATAGAATTGATTTTTACTACGAGAAGGCATTTTCAGAGATGCCATTGCTTGAGGTTTTAGATCTCAGTTACAATAGTTACACTTTTGAAATGAAAGGTATGGGACATAGCTTCAACTTCACCAAGATGCTCCCTTCTCTCAGGAATTTGAGTCTCGCCCATAACCAAATAGCTAAACGAGTATCAACTGAGCTGCACAGCACCTCTTTGAATACGTTGAACTTTAAGGGCAACATGTTAAACATAATGTGGGAAAGTGGAACAAACACGTACTTGAGTTTCTTCTACAATCTTCATAATTTGACTTTCCTGGATATCTCGGAAAATAAGCTGAAGACTGTGCCCCCAGGAGCAATGATTCGATTCCCGCCAAGTCTGAAAGAGCTTTACATCAACAAAAATCAGATCGACTTTTTCAATTGGGACAATCTGACAGTGCTAGTCAATCTACAGATTCTAGACTTAAGCCATAATTTACTTAATGGCTTGCCCAATAAACCGTGTCACTTCCCCAAGACATTTTCCAAACTTGTCCTGCATCACAATGTGATAACGAAACTTTCCAGTGCATTTTTCTCCAAAGTCAGGGCAATGTGCTATCTTGACTTAAGCTACAATCATATAAAAATATTAAACAAAAACAGTTTTCCCTCTCAGTTACTGGGAGGTTTGGAAGTGTTAGCTCTGGCCAATAACCCTTTCAGTTGTACCTGTGATGCTGACTGGTTTATTCACTTTATCGAAGATACTAATGTGTCCTTGCCACTCCTCACTACAAGTTGGAAATGTGAGTTTCCAGAATCGCAACAGGGAATGAGCATCCTTTCAACAGATCCCCTTTCCTGCCAAAAGGTTTACGGAAGTATAAGCTTTATCTTGACCTTTCTGCTAACAGCAACTTTCACAGTCTTACCAATACTGAATAAGCTGTTTGGTTGGGATTTCTGGTATGCTTTCCATGTCTGCGCTGCCAAGTTAAAAGGGAGTACAACAATCGTCTCAGAAAATCTGCACTATGATGCATTTATAGTTTTCGACACCACATGCAAAGCGGTAGCTGATTGGGTTTATGACGAGCTGGTAGTCAATCTGGAGAAGAAAGGCCCACACAATTTCAGGCTGTGCCTTGAGGAGAGGGATTGGATTCCTGGCAAGTCATCGATGGAGAACTTGTATGATGCTATTTACCAAAGTAGGAAAACGATCTTTATACTGACAAACTCTTATTTTGTGAGTGGACAATTAAGACAGGCCTTCTTCATTACACATCAACGGCTATTGGACGAGAAGATTGACGTCATTGTATTAGTCCTTTTGGATCAATCCCTGAGGAAGTCAAAGTATCTGCAGTTACGCAAGAGGTTGTGCAAAGCTTCTGTCTTAAGTTGGCCCCACAATCCACATGCAGAACCACATTTTTGGCTCAAGCTGCAAAAAGTATTGACCAGAGACAACAGATTGCAATACGATCCAAATTTTAGTGAGAGCTTTTTACCCTTCGAATATAATTTACAAAGCATCTTGTGGCATAATCATTGATTTGACAAAGGACAAGCAAAGGCAAAGTATCTTGGTAACAGGATTTCTACTACACTTTGGTGTTAAGAAATGCTTCCTGACATCACCTTTGAAGGTGCAGCTCTCACTTTAATCTTTTGCCAACTTCCGTGCTGCCCTTTAATGTGGACTCACCTAAGTAAGGAAAGAGTTTCCCCCAAAACGTACTCTATCAAATACTTTGAATCACTTTAACTTGGTTCATTATTCAAATGATTCAAGTAGAAAGGGAGATTTTAGAAACTAGGACTGAGCTTTCATTGCTGGGATTGGGTTGGAGCAAAGGCGGGAGACGATAAGCATGTGCCAATGTTATCCATCAAGGTGTTCCGCCTCCATTCTCGCTCCTGCTGATTTTCATGGGAGTGGTACAAGAGCAGAAGAAGTGAAGAACTCCATGTTGTTAATTGAGTAAAAGCAAAATACCGCAGATGCTGGAAATCTGAAATAAACACAGAAAGTGTTGGAGAAAATCAGCAGGTCTGATAGCATCTGTTGAGAGAGCAAAACATAGAGTTAAGCTTTCAAGTCCATTATATGACTCTACTTCAGAACCAAATGGGGCTGGAAAATGGTAGCTTTTATGCTGTGACAGAGGAGGGAGGGGAGTGAGTGGAACAGACTGAGAGGGTGCCCAGAGCAAAAGACAAGGGGAGTGTTAAAGGTGGTAAAGGAGCGATAGAGATATAGAATGATTGTAAATGGAAATGTGAAAAGGAGAAAACAGCTCTGCTGTGCTGAGAGTAAATTGAACAAGACACAAAGAGGGTTGGGAGAAGGGTTATAAGAAAAATGGAGGATAGGCATTATACTCTGAATTTGTGGAACCCAATATTACATTGAGCCCTAGAGGGTGCAAATGTACCTAGACAAAAATGAGATGTTGTTTGGAGACAGAAAGGACTGCAGATGCTGGAAGTTAGAGTCAATAAATGTGGAGCTGGAAAAGCACAGCAGATCAGACAGTGTCTAAGGAGAGGGACCTCAATGCTAGGGTTTCAGCCCAAAACGTTGACTTCCCTGCTCCTTGGATGCTGTCTGACCTGCTGGGCTTTTCCAGCTCCACATTCAATGAGACATTGTTTCTTCAGCTTGTGTTGAGCTTCATTGGAACATTGTAACAGGCCCAGGATGAAAATGTTACCATGGGACCAAGGTGATTTATTGAATTGGCAAACAACTGAAAGGTCAGGGTCATCCCCACTGACAGAGCAGAGGTGTTACAGAAATGGGGACGGCTACTTATGAGGGCCTCTGTGGAAATTCAACCCACATGGTTCCTTGCACTTATTGTTGCTAACCCCCACCCCCTCCACTGAAATGAAACCATCTGGCCTCTGTATAAACACCACTGGGTATCCCAGCTAAAATTAGGGATCTCCCGCAGCACGTGTCTCATGAGTTTGAATCCTGCTGTCAGGATGATGACAATTTCAAGAGTCCACAAGAGCAAGAGATTAACAAAAAATATATTTTATTTTAATTTTGAATAAAGACAAAAAGGCAAAAAAAATCACATCTTTAAACTTCATAAGCAGAAATTCGACGTAGGATTCTCTTTCCAGAATATTCTAGTGATAACAAATCAAACAGATATAAGACAGACAAGTTTTTGAACAAAATTCAGTATCAGGTACAAAAATCAGTGTCTGCTCTACATCTTCAAAACATGATACAGGTACTTGTGGAGTCTTGTACAGATAGTCAGTAATAATTCATTGCCTAGTCTGCCTGCATTTCAGAGCAAACTGTTTGCAAGATGTCTCAATCCCACTCTCAAATCTTGCCTACTCCTTTCCCTGTGACCTCCCACCTTTAAATACTCTCGCATTTAGAAACTGTGCCGGGTCATACAATGATGCAGACACCCGTGTCTATCGAATATTTTTGCCAACAGTTTCAACGGACTGTTACACAATTTGGAACAGACATTAATGTTTGTAAAATGAAGGGCACAGCAATTTAAAGCACAAATGTCCAGGCTTCACAAGATAATAGTGTGATTTCCAAGTTTAAGGTTTCCCTTCAAAGTCATTAAGGTTGCTACAAAATCCATTTATCACGTGTCAGTTCAACGACCTGAGACTTTAATTCTGTTTCTCACTCCACTAAAGCTGCTGAGCATTTTCTTTTATCATGTGTATCTGGCAGTCACTGTTTTTACATGGTAAATACTTAATAATGCCAGAGTATTGTAAAAGGAGCCACAAGCAGACAGGCTACCCTTCAGTTAGATCCTTCAGTTTAGTGTCCTATCCCAAAAAACCAATCTCTAATAAAATTTCATGACGCCTTCATGAATGTAGAATTAAGCATATCATTTGGCAACATATCTTTGTGTTTAGAAGTGGCACTAACTGATGTAATCAAAAGTGTTGGTGCATTGAAGCTGCCACCACAGAGAATAGGATAAAGGGAGCCCACCATGGTTCAGCTGCTTTGGTTTCTACCAGTCATTGCATGGTGCAATGATAATGGATTTGGTTACTAATCTATCAATTGGTTTACTTAAATAAAATGCAAGAAAATCTGAAATCTATTTAATATAGGGATGACCCCCCCTCCCAAATGCTGTAAGAGAGGGAATTCTGAGATTTTGACCCAGCGACAGTGAAAGAACGGCAATATCTATCCAGGATGGTGAGTGGCTTGGACGGGAACCTACAAGGGGGTGGTGTTCCCATGTATCTGCTGCCCTTGTTCTTCCAGATTATGGCAGTTGTAAGTTTGATGAGAATACCAATGGCTCCTCATAGAGGAAATTCCTGATCTCAGAACTTACAGCTAGGAGCTAGGAAATGGACAATTTATCCCAGGGCAGATTCGTAGCTTCTGGTTAAAGAGTGGTAACAGCAAAGACCATAAGGAAACTGCTGTGATGTACCAAGTATGAAGGGAGAAGTTGAGGGCACGAATTGAAAACAAACAGGACAATGCAATCTTTGAGTCATAGAGCTGTACAGCACAAAACAGACCCTTCGGTCCAACTTGTCCATGCTGACCAGATATCCTATATTAATCTAGTCCCATTTGCCAGTATTTGGCCCATATCCCTTTAAACCCTTCCTATTCACATACCCATCCAGATGCCTTTTAAGTGTTGTAATTGTACCCGTCTCCACCACTTCCTCTGGCAGCTCATTCCATTTTCTCACCTCCCACGTGGTACCCATGCTCTCTCTTTCCTCCTGTTTTCCAAAGTTCCAAAACAATGCAACAGGTTATAAAACAGTAATTACCGCTCCAAGAAATCAAGGAAATCAGCTCCAACCCCGAAAAAAAACCTCGAAAAAAGGAGCAGCTTTACAGTCAGAAATAAAACATTCCAACTAGTTTTTTTTCCCTTAATGGATAAATAGAGTAAGCTTGGTGAGCTGAGATAACAAGGTGTAGAGCTGGATGAACACAGCAGGCCAAGCAGCATCAGGGGAGCAGGAAGGCTGACGTTTCGGGCCTAGACCCTTCTTCAGAAAAC